CGGATGACTTGGTTGGGAAGGTCGACTTCGATTTCTTTGCCAGCGTTCGCCTCGTCAGCGACGCGTTTCAGGAGAGCCTCGTCTGCGATACGGATGGGCAGCATGCCGTTCTTGAAGGTGTTGTTGAAGAAGATATCGCCGAAAGATGGGGCGATGATGCACTTTATGCCGAAATCGAGGAGCGCCCAGGGTGCGTGCTCGCGACTTGAACCGCAGCCAAAGTTGGGTCCTGTGCATACTAGAATCTTTGAGTTGCGGTAAGGCTCCTTGTTCAATACAAAAGATGGGTCTTCCTTGTCACTGCCAGCTTCGTAGCGCCAGGCGTGGAAGAGAGCACTGCCGAGACCAGAGCGCTTGATGGTCTTGAGGAACTGCTTAGGGATAATGGCGTCGGTGTCGATGTTTGCCACATCCATAGGCGCTGCGTATCCGCGAAGAGTCTCGAACTTGGGCATACCGGCTGGGGCGCTGCCTGTGCTGCTGGTGTTCGAGGCAGTATGCTGAGGTCCGGAGCTGGGAAGGTCCATAATCTTTTCGAACTCTTCGTCACTGCTGGGAGGCTCGACTTGAGCGTCCAGCTCAATCTTCGGTGAGCCCTTAGCCTGTGCCGGAGCCTGCGGGGCGAGTTTCCGTACATCGGCAAGGTTTCCTACGATAGCGGCGGCGGCGGCCATAGCAGGCGACATGAGATGTGTCCGGCCACCCGCACCCTGTCGGCCCTCAAAGTTTCGGTTGGAGGTTGACGCACATCGCTCGCCAGGGGACAAAATGTCGGGGTTCATGCCCAAGCACATTGAGCATCCAGCCTCTCTCCACTCGAACCCGGCATCACTAAAGATCTTGTCAAGACCTTCAGCCTCTGCCTGCTTCTTGACCAGACCAGAACCGGGGACGATCATAGCACGCTTGATGTTGGAAGCCACCTTTTTACCCTCAACAATTTGAGCAGCTGACCGAAGATCCTCGATACGAGCATTTGTGCAGGATCCGATAAAGATCTTGTCAAGGGGAATCTCCTGCATCGGGGTGCCGGCAGTCAGGCCCATGTACTTCAGAGCACGTTCGCACGCCAGCTTCTTGGTCGCATCCTCAAAGTCGTCGGGTCCAGGTACAACGCCAGTGATGGGGATGACATCCTGAGGCGAAGTGCCCCAAGAGACTGTCGGGGCAATGTCCTTTGCGTCAATCAAGACCTCAATGTCGTATTTGGCGCCCTCGTCGGACTTGAGTCCAAGCCAGTAGTTGCAAGCTTTCTTCCACTCCGGGCTGTCGACCTTGGGCGCAAGGGGCTTTCCCTTGAGATAATCGATAGTGATCTGATCAGGCGCGATCATACCAGCTCGTGCGCCACCTTCGATTGACATGTTGCAAATCGACATACGCGCCTCCATGCTCAAGCCGCGGATAGCCGAGCCACAGAACTCGATGACGGCACCTGTTCCTCCAGCCGTGCCAATCTTGCCAATGACGTGCAGGATAATGTCCTTGCTGCCAACACCAGGTCCGAGTTCTCCGTCGACCTGAACCTTCATGTTCTTACTCCGCTGTGTGATGATGGTCTGGGTGGCCAAGACGTGTTCTACCTCGCTGGTACCGATACCAAAGGCGAGAGCACCGAAAGCGCCATGTGTGGATGTGTGACTGTCACCGCATACGACTGTGGTGCCGGGCAGCGTGAAGCCCTGTTCAGGTCCGATGATGTGCACGATACCCTGCCTCTTGTCGTCAAGGCCAAAGTATGTGAGGTCGAAGGCCTTGACGTTCTCCTCGAGAGTCATGCATTGTAACCGCGAGTCGGTCTCTTCGATGAATTTCTCGGTCGTGGTGAGGTTTTTCCGCGAGGCGGTAGGGATGTTCTGTTGCTGTTAGTCGCTGATGTATTCCCCGGGATGGGGAACATACGTGGTCGACTGTGGCGAGGGTGCAGTCTGGTCTTCGTACTCGGCGGCCGGCGTTTCGGAGACCCTCGAATGCTTGCTGTGGTTGTATAAGCGTGCGCACTCAAGTTACAGATTGCGAGATCTGCCTACTGGTGATGTCACTTCGTGGACAAGATGCCTATCTGCGCAGCAGTCAGCACAGAACAAGTAGGCTACACAGCGCAGTACATACCAATATACAGAAGGATTGTGCCATCCTCCTTCTCTTCGACGATGTGGTCTTCAAAGACCTTGTCGTACAGGGTCTGCGGTGGTTTCACTGCAGACGGCATTTTGAATATATACGGGTTATGAGTAGTACAATAAATTCAATTTGAGTGCACTGAAAAGTTGAGAAGGAGCAATAGAAGTAAGAGACACTCGGCAAGGGCAGGTACCGGCTTAAATGAGGCGCATGTGGGAACTCAAATCGCTGGAAGGCGAACGAGGCACAAAAAGATGCCGGCCGATGTTCGGAGTCGACGACAAGAGGGGCACAGCCGCCAATCACGCTGCGATTGATGACGGACCACCTCGGCCTCCATCGCTGTCGGGCTGCGTTATTTCACTATCTAGTAGGTGATAATTCACGATGCTGATCTTGAGCCATTAGAGACGCAAGGAACCTTGCCGCGCATCTCGTCTGGCGCTGAGAGAGCTACTCTAGGCACTGTTTCCGCTACCGATGACGACGTTCACGTGCGAAGAGGTCCGACTCTGCCCCGCATCGTGCATGCCCCACTGCACCGCCTCCCGATCCATCTGCAACAGTCAGCCAATTTCCCAGCCCTCCGATTTGACGTTTCATGAGCATGTCTCCAGGACAGCTAACGTTTCCCTGGCTAACCCACACGTTTGCCCAAGCGTTGTGATGTTGAACGTAGGACTTTACAAACGGTGCAAATGTTTGCGAGAGGCGGTCAATTGGGGAAAAAAGGAAACCACTTCGATAGGCGCGCGAATTGCTTATTTCGATAGGAATCCTTCGATGGAATCAATACTCCTTCTTCAACTTCAGACCTATCAGGGCACGGTAAGCAGCATATGTCGAAGTCATATATCAGGACATTGCCGGCCGGCCTGTGTAAGATATGACTTTAAGTGACAACGCCATGTGAATAGTTTACATGTCCCACGAACCCTCAATCTATACATACATATCCGTACATCTACAGATTGTCCGCGGTGAAGATAAGCAAAGCCATCCTATGTCGTACAAACAGCCCTAGAACTCCGACCGCGAACTGGAACGCGAGCAAACCCATGGCTAAGCGGTCTTCCCGCATTGGACCGAACCATACTAACCATAAATTGATTAGTGTAAAGTTGCTCGACGAAACCACCTGCCCCTTCGCATCAATCTCAACATCAAGCATCCGAAGCCGGTGCAGCACCTTGAGGCTCTCCGCTATCGGTCGTCGTAATGGTTTGGTAAATTCGACGCGCGATGGCTCCAGTAGTCCTGTCCGTGCGTTGAAATGCGGAAGCCGATGTCGGGGACATGGTACGATATGGAAGAGCTGGGGTGCCGAGTAGACGAAGTTGAACGCTTGTGGTATGAGCAGCAAGATCAGCGTTTTACTGAAATGGCCGAGGATAGCGACTACAGCGAATACCATGCCCGCAAAATAGCAGTAAGTATCCCCCACAAACACCTTTGCTGGATACCAGTTGTGCATCAGTAGAGCCAGCGAGACACCGATAAATGGTAGTAGCAGATACAGCGAGAACAGATGAGAGTCTGTTGCCGGATGCGGATACGTCGTAAATGGCGAGAGATAGAGCATGTCGTTGCCCACAATCAGGACTGCGATGACTATAGACTGAGCCACCTCGATACCGTTGATACCCGCCAGGATGTTGATGCTATTTGAGGAGAAGATGGACATAAGCGCCATGTAGACATAGTACAGCCAGCCTGGACATGTATCAGTACCTAGTTTCGTAATCATGCTTGACATGAATGCATACCTAGATCAAAGAGTTCGCCTAAGTAAGGTCTCAATGGTACCGGGACAACCATCTGTGTGACGCCAAAGTCGACAAAGTAGACGACGAGCATGGGAATGACTGCAAAGGCGGGGATGAGAACCTTGTGTCGCCATCTTATGTCGAACAAATCGTCACCAATTCCAAGCAGTACGATAGACTGAAGGGAGAGAATAGCGGATAGGTAAGATGCAAGCTTGTTGTGGGGAAATCTGTGTAGTAGCCTCCCGGTCTCGATCAGCTCCAATTCCTTTATGATATCCCTGTTGCCGCCCCCTGACGTTGCGACTACAATGTCCTTGTAGAAAGGCCATGGTATGAAGAAGATCAGAACGAAAAGGTACACCATCGCACACACCGCTCCCATCATCTCAGGGCTGTTTCCGTCAGTTAATTGACAAGCGGATCAGAGTACGTGGTACTTACATCTCAATCTGTTTGAGCTTGCAGAGATCTCGCCCCTTGAAGCCACGCTTCATGAAAGCATTTCCAAGCCATCGTATTAGGGCATAGCAGAACGCAAATGCTAGACCACTGAGCGCTATCGACGCAACAAGCGGCTCACCGTCACCATGAAGAGTGTTGGTCAGCACCCCAAGGCAGGCGATAGACATGGAAAGCAGTGAAAGTGTCTCTGTCGACGACAGCGCACTCGTCATGGTGACTGTAATTGTGTTGAATGCTGTGGTGACGGCGGATCTTGGCACGTAGACGCCTGTAGTTGTTGACTCCGCCCAGCCGTTTGCTGTCGCGACAATATCAGCGACGGTCGCGCAATTCCCTCACAACAGCATCAACTGAGCTCGCCGCTCTGCCCAATAATAACCTCTTTGTCTGATTCCGGAGCCTAATTTCGCGTGAAGTGTTCGAACAGGACTCGAGACTGACAGAGAAAGCCAGCAGATAGTTCCACAAGCTCCAGCAACGAATCAGAAAAGCTCACGACGTGAGCGAGTGACGACAAGAGCAGAACGATCTGCACGAAGTTGTGGTTGCGGTGTTTGGTGAGTAGAGATTCTGGCAAGGTGTTGTTTCGGCTTCTTCCTGCTCTGCTAACCCGAAACGATAGACCCACGAACATTGGCATCAAACATGGCCGCCAACAACAACGCGGGCGCCCCGGCAAGGACCGATCATCTCTTGGACGGTCTGAACGCCGTAAGCACTCACCTTACTTCACCAAACTTCCTTCGACAACTGACTGCGTCCCGTCTGCCGTCGGCTGCGGTGAGCGATTCGTCGTCCTTGAGCCCCACCAAAGACGAAGCACGGTCGCGTGCACGCAAGCCGGACTTCAACATCGCCGTCGCGCTCGAAGATGAAATCGAGAACGCAGACCTGATCGCTCCCCTGATTCAAGAGCCTTGTGCCGACGGTAGCACAGGTAGCATTGAGCAGCGCGTCGTCGACCACCTAGAGGTGAACTTTGTGGACGCGCATCGCGTCTACGCCAAGATGGCTGCAGCGCAGAGCTTCCAGACCTTCTCGCATGGCCACCAGGACCTCGTACTCGCCGTCGACTTCAATTACTTCGGCACACGCATGGTCACGGCAAGTTCAGACCACCGTGCCAAGGTCTGGGACAAGAAGGACGATTCGTGGACCCTCGTCGAGAGCTGGAAGGCTCACAATGCTGAGATCATCGATGTAAGTTATCTAATCTTCAGCCGCAAATCTCCTTTCGGTTGCCTGCATGCCATTTCGCCACCTTTGTGAACCATCGCTAATTCGATGCTAGATCAAGTGGAACGGCCCGTTCATGGGCGAGGTCGTCGGCAGTATTGGTGAAGATGGCCACTGCAAGATCTGGCAAGAGGATGCTACTGAGGTAGCCATATCTGGCAATCGCTTCAAGCTGATCTACAACCTGCAGTCATTGACCAACGCTCCATTCATGTCTTTGGACTTTAAGAACATCATGCAGGAGACTTGGCTCGCGCTCATCACCCGCGACGGCTACCTCACTGTGTATGAGCCTCAAGACCAGAGTAACCTCCATGAGTGGACTATCCTGGCAGAGCGCTGGGTCTCCGAGAACAATCCCCCAGAGCGTCAAGATGAAGTGGGCTTCAAGGTCGTTTTTCACAAGGAAAAGCTGCCCTGCTGGACCGCCATCACCGCTGGCCTCGATCGCAAGTCGCTATCCCTCGCTGTTGCCGCTATGAAGGACGTCCTCGTCTTCCGCACTGACAAGGCCAAGCGCTTCTTCCAGGTTGCAAAGCTGGAGGGTGCACGCCAGATCATTCGAGACTTGGCTTGGGCTAACGGCTCTATGCGGGGCTACGACATCTTGGCCACAGCTAGCAAAGACGGAGCTATTCGCATCTATGAGCTTCGCACGCAGACCGATGATAAGAACGCTCCGCCTGGGACTGCATCGTCATCGGCTCCGCTGTCAGTATCTCCGCGAGGTCATCGACAGAACGCACCGTCTGGAATAGGAGCTGGACTGGCCGGAGCTTCGAAGGCTCCCGATGCGTCTCTCGAAAACGAGCAGTATCCTGGTCGCATCAAGCAGAAGTCAGAGATGACAGATGAGCTGACCAACCATCACGGAGCAGTTTGGCGTGTCACATTCTCACAGATGGGTAAGCCAGTCCAACGGAACGTGCATGGCCACAGCTAACAGTTAATACAGGTGATCTTCTCGTTACTACTGGAGACGATGCCAGCATTCGCACCTGGAAGAAGGCCGCTGACGGCCACTGGCAGGAATACGCCCAGATTGAGACCGTTGAAGACTAGCCGGCCAACCCAATTCTGGTATACCCAAGTTCCAGATGCGTTTCCGACACATTGTGGTTCAACATGAAAGCATGATTATGATATTTACGGCGTTGGTGGTAGATGAATTGGCAATGGTCTTTTGGCAAGCAGGTATCGCAAGCTAAGCGCACTGCACGACGAACGACTCTGGGATCATTTAGGGGGAGTTTTGTACGACTCATTTTCGGTGTTTAGGCATATGAAGAACATCACACGGCACACGACGCAGTGGTGCATTCTGGCTACCGCACTCCGTTAAGTCATCACACGTTTAGATACCCACGGCTATCCATCACGGAGCTTCAGCCATATCACGGTGGGAACTTTAACTCTCTGTATAGTACAAGTATCAATCGATCAAGTATAAAGTGGCATTCTGTGTTATATCGTTTTGTTCATTGCCAACCTTCGCTTTGTTCATATAGAAACAGCGCAGGGTAGAACATATAGCCCCAAAGCAAGCCGATGACGTATTCTATTACCAGGATTTGCGTATTCCTGGATGAGATAGGTTGTCGTGTTGCATCTAGGGGATGTATGTAGAGTGATAGGTGAACAGCCATGAGGCCAGGGAACTGAAAGCTGTCCAGATGAGAGGTACTATCGATAAGGCCGTGGTTACCTCCCAACGAGCGCATCCTTCATCTCTGGGTATTCTCTCCATAGGTTGACTAGCGGGAGAAACAGGTTTTTCTGCACCTCTTTTCCTTCTTGTTCAGCCTTTGCTTGCTCTCCAGCCCAAGCCCACATCTGTGTCCAGGGAATCCAACTCCACGCAGCACACTTGTGCGGTTCCATAGGCTACCAAGTTTATCAGCTCTTCATTCACAACTGCGGATACACCAGGACAAACGAGAACTTACCATCGGTGTCTTGTTATCGCCAGTGATGGTACAAGTGACGAAGATGGTCACGTAGTGCTTCCCCTCTCCGAAAACATCATTTGTAGCAGTAAGAAATTTGATGTTGCCCACCTCAAGCCCTGTCTCTTCCAACACCTCTCTTGCAGCCGTTTCAGCGAATGATTCGCCGTACTCGAGGTGGCCTCCGGGGCACTGGAGAGTACCTGCGCCATGGGAGCCTGCGCGCTCTCCCATGACAATGTTCCCTGCATTATCGTGGATGATGACACCTACACCAATCTTGGGTCGTTCTGCTTCTGTCATGCTGGGCGAATATGCTGAATACTTACTCGCTGACAGATTCTGATTACAAGGTCGAATCGCAGAAGTCGTGAACACCTCTACTGGCTGAGGCTGCATGTGTGAGTCTTCCTCGAGGTCGCTACGCGCTAACGCCCGATGCGTCCTAGCTGGGGGGCTAGAATAGAAGTTATACTCCCCCAAACTGCACCACCCTCAGCTCCTTACTGCAATATCTTTGTATTTCCACTGTATCAATCGTCTGATTCCCATGAGATGCTTATAACGGGCTTGAGATGTCAGAGCCTAGAATCTTTGAAGCTGCATGAGGACTAGAGACTGAGTGGGGTAGAAAAGCGTTGCATGATGCTAGGGACGTGGTAGGATTAGCGTGCGTAGATTAATCGAACTGAAGACGTGGCCATTCTGATAGTGGATCCGATGGCGGTTGTGTCTGAACAAGGACAAGATATCGTACTGAATCGTACTGAGCATATTGTCATTGAGTAATATAGCTGTCCTAATAACCACTTCCTTTCATCCAATCAGGCTTCGTGGCGCAATGGTAGCGCGTCAGATTCCAGTACCACCTGGAGCTTCCTGAAGGTTAGGCGTTCAAATCGCCTCGAGGTCACACCTGATTTAATTCTTTTTGCCCAAAGAGAGCAGCAATCTTTTTGCTGCTGTGTGGATCCGATGCGTTGATGCATCATTGTGCTTGGTCGATTGCGGTAAAGAGGGGTGGCTCCACCGAAAAGAACCGAGGATCTGGGCCGACGTTTTTGCTGAACCATGTTCATTTCTGAGATTGTGGGAACTATCCGAAAGATCCGAAGACGACTGCTTTGCCAGATGAATTGTCCTCCTGCAGCATAGACTTCTCGATCATCAAGAGGAGATGCGACGTTCTTATGAGCAGTTCTACCCCGTATTAGCAGTCGGCCCAACAGAAAGGACGGCGCGACAACTTACCGTCAAGCTCGATATCGTAAGTAACTGGCATATCCTCATCGGTGCTGATAAGGATCGGTGCGTTCCTTCGAAGTTTCCTCTCCCTCACATTGAAACGTATACCGCTGTCCTTCCTGGGACTAACCCACAGAATGCGCGGATCTTCCAAGTCCGCCTTCTCTTCTTCTACTTCTCTTACGACCTCTTTCCCCTTACCTACCTCCTCAACGATCTCAATTGGCACTTCTGTGTTAGTTGTCGATCCTTTCGACGCGATGTCGCGTAGCCACTCTCTCCACACTCGAAGTACGCCTTCCTCAATGTCAACGAAATTGGTAAAGAGATTATGAGATCCAATCTTCACAAGGTTGGTCTGCGCGACCAGCTGCGTGAACAATTCATGCGCCTCCAATCCCAGCGTCTGCTTGACCGTTTCACCTTGGTACTTCTCCTGCACTGCGCCTGGGAAGGTGCGACTGCCAGGTACGTCTCCAGGTCTTGGCTTCACTCTCCGCCCGCCCGCTTCAAGATCGCGCCTATGTGGACGGAAGCGAGAGTACATGTTATACATATCGCCTAGTCTACCAACCTCTTTCGTGCTCGAATTCGACTCATCGTATTGTGTCAAGCCATCGGTGCATCTGTATGTACAAAAATATGGCGGCTCGGTGAGTTTCGCGGAGGGGTGGAAACATTCGAGTAGCACAGAGTGCGAGTGCAATTCGGCAGCTGCAACAAGCCGGTTGTGCAGAATACGTAGGATAAGCGTGTATATACGGTGCGATATTGTGGTCAACTTTAATAGTTCAGGTGTCGGCATAGGAGTGAGGAGATGTAAGAGCAACTGCAATGGTTAGCATCTTGCTGTCAATACAGACCAACAGACAGCAAACCTCGTTGGGGAGTCTGTAAAGATAGCATTCTTCCATCTTGACAACTATGATCGTACTCGAATAGTTCTACGACGTGTAGTTACAGTATCCCGCGAGCGAAAGCCGTCCAGCATGGGCGAAGGGAGCAACACCAGGGACCGGAGATAAGATATCGTCATCGCGATGCTACGCTCATTTTGGAAGACCGAGGCTTATCTGCATTGGGCTAGCGCGTCAACAAGACGCGCTTTCCCGTTCACGTTTCACCACTCACTTTCTCTGTCCATAACGCGAAACACCTTTTCAACTAACGTTCGGCATACGAAGCAGTAAGTGCAGTACGCTTTTGTTGCTGCGGTCACTAGTCATCATGCAAGGCTTTGTCCGTGGGAGAACAGGCAGTCCTTCCAATGCCCAACCTCAAGGCAAGCCCGACCGACAAGCCAATGCTGCAAGCGCGAGGGTACCCGCAAAGAATGGACATCATCGTCTGCAATCTCAAGCTCCCTCTGAAACTATGGCGCGCGGATACACCAATGCTAAAAACAGCTCAGCTGTGTTGCAACAACCTCCCCGACATCGCCAGTCAGGTTTGGGTCCAGGTCAGAAGCGTGATCCCTACGACACTGACGCAGAGAGTATCGACACCACAGTAAACCAGTCTGTTGTACAGGTCGAAGATAGCCAGAAGAGAGAGCAACACCACCAACAGCAAGGTCAAGTTGAGGATTATGAGGAGAGCTCGGAAGTGGAAGATGAAGACGAAGCAGATGAATACGGAGACGGAGTAGATGAGCTGGAAGCCCAGTATTACTATCAAGGCTATGAATTGACAAAAGAAGATGAAGATTATCTTCACCAGGTCAATCTTGGCCACCTCTCCAACGCTGACAAGATTTCGTTTCTGCGAAACGCGGACAACGGAGGACTCCCAACCATTGAAGGCGACTCATATCCGAGCACCACTAATGGTGAGCTTTCAGAGTGGGGAGGTAGACAAGAAGCAGCTCCCAATTTCCATAACGGTGGTGGTCCTACGTCTCAACGCCAGAGCGTTAATAATCAAGCTGTACGCATGGCGGCCTCACAGCCTCCGCCGCAACAGCAAGGCCGAAATGTTCCAATTGTCAGCCAAGACATGCATACTTCGTCACAAATGTTCCAGCACGGTGCACACCTTCGCGAGCAGTCGCGCGCAACCGCACACGTTTCGCAACATAGAGCCCAAAGCATCCAGCAATCTATTCCGGCCCTGCCCGTCAATCAGCACCAAAATCATAGTCGAAAGGTACCCTATGTCACTGCTCAACCACCGACCTACTCAAATTCTTATCCTATTCCACATGCTCAGCCCGGTACCTCTCAGCAAAAACCCACCCGGCAGGCCCCGGATCCTCGAACGCAAATCCCGGTCAACCAGAACATCATGTCCACCAAACCACCTGCGCCAACTAGACCTCCGCCTTCATTACCTGCTATCCGAGAGCCTGTCGTGCAGGAGCAAATGACTGAGCAGGCTCCGGTTGAAGAGATTGAGGCTGCCCCACTTGAAGACTACGATTCGGAGACGCTACTAAAGAAGAAATACGAAGAGCTCAAGAACGAACCCTTTGATGTTAATCCTCGTGCGCCACCGCCGATGCTCGTTGAGGACGCACTCCAAAAACCGCTCGTTGAACGTCTGCCTCTTGTACAGAAGAACCTTGATGAAGGTCAGCAAACTCAATTCTTCCGCTCTCTACCTACTACCGAGTGGGAGGATGCTGGAGACTGGTTCCTCGATCAATTCCAGGATATTTTACAGCGCACAAAGCAGGCAAGGCAAAAGAAGCGTAAGCTAGCGCAAGAGTTTGAGGCAGAAGTTGAGAAGCGCTACGAGCATGTTTCAAAGAAGCAGCACCAAGTTCAAGAGGCTATGGACAAGATGAAGGAGCAGGGTGAAGGTCTGATGCCTAGGAGCCCGAGACCTTCCAAGAGCCCTAGGTCTAGGAGAGGTTGATAGCGAGAGCTTTCGAGCTCCCTATCCCTTCCAGGTGCTGCCTGGTGACTACAAGACGCAACGCATCGGTGAAAGGTATCCATGGTGACGGTGTACCACCAGGGATGGCGCATAGGCAGCGTATCAAGTGTTTTTCGCATACCATATACCCATATACCCATATCCGTTAGTCTAGATACTGTTCGAGCTCAAAAGTCATGTTCATTGCTTTTCTTTCCAATCACGTATTGTTTTCATCCCGCGTCTGTTTTGTACGAAGAGGCTGGGCTTTCCGATGCAACAGTCCTTAACACTTCATTCTTCTGTTGCTATTGCGTATGGCCGTCCAGTAAGTCGCCGACAGGTGACCTAATCTCTCACCCTCTGCGTTAGGCTCTCCACCTTTCGCGTGGGTAGCTTATGGCTGCCTCTAAACGATCGCATCTTGGACAAAATTGCAAGCATGATCGCATGTATGCCCAGCGATAGGCGTTCGATGTCACAGATGGAGAAAGGCACTACGAGATGGTGTTTTTCGGAATGCATTTTATGAGCAGAAAAGTTTGAGGGTACCAAGACGTAGTCCTGAAAGCTACATCGTTATATCTCAATTCTGGTTAGACCTTCGTAACTACAGCACGTCGTATCTCGAAATGACCCCTTTTTACTGCGATATATCTCCCCTTCGCACTCTTGCTAGTAACCTTAATTGAGGACTGGGGCCGAACAACTATGCGGAAGTTCCTTGACGATAGTTTGATGATTCACTTTCTCCCTCGGGAATGATGGGAAAAGACAGAATGGCATGACCAGGTCAACCCAACGAATCATGACGAGCTGCGGCAATGAACGAAGATCTACAATCTCAGCGCTACTGGCAACTGGGATGGGGTAATGTACGCTGGACCCTAAACGCGATAAAGTTTAGCGCATGGATGCCAACTACGCGGACTTGATGGCTTCGACAACTGCGCATAACATGGTCGGACGAAAAGCCGTTTCTCAGTCGGCCACTTACGATATCTAGTCCAGAACGACGCGCGGAGTTGACTGGAGACGCATACACTTGCGATCTCCATGAGCATACTTGGGTAAGACGAGCTACGAAACGAATCACGCGATGAGAGAGAGCATTGCGTAAGCAGGAGGCAGGATGTCGCGCATACGAATGAAACTCATGTGAACATCCTACGCGGCGGGGGCGGAGTCGGCATACGCGGAAGGAGCTGTTCAGGCCTCCGGATCCACCTTCTGAGAAGTTCGCCTTGCTCGGAACATGACGGAAGCTTGGCATGTCAGCGTTGACTACATCATTGGGATGTAGCTTTCGACCCAGTATTTTCCGGATTTAGTGGACAAGTAAATCCACGTCTTCGCACCCTGGCTGTTCCTTTCGTCTCTTCATAAACTTTTTGCTGGGTTATTGCCGTCGTTCTTTCTCGTCAACAACTACCCTGATCCCGAATATACCCAATTTTACGCTGATCAGCATAACCAGAACGCCAAATTCAACCCAACATGGCGTTCGAGATATCCCAAAAATGGTCATCCTACCACCTAATACCTCAATCCGTTGACGTTGCCCTGAACCCCCCAGAATCCTACTTCTTCATAACCGACTTCCTGATCATAGCTTGCGGTATCCTCTATACGCTGTGCTATATGTTTTACACCATCCGGACCTATTCAGACCGCTACCTAGCTGGAACTGTACAATTTCTTTCCGCGACTATGGCATATGAGATCTACTACGCATATGTGTGTACCACGACGAATTTCCAACGGGCCTGCTTCTTTGTGTGGTTCTTATTTGACATCACGTTCGTCACGGTGGCGCTTAAGCATGCGTATAAGCCTGAGGAAAGGAGAAAGACTGTGGTGAAGTTGCTGTGGCAGGTGCCAGCTTGGATGGCATTCTTGTGGTGGGTTGGCACAGTGTGGCCGGATGAGAGGGAACAGAAGACGGCGTTCTTTACTGGGTTGTATCTGGAGCTGCCGATCGGGTGGGGACAGATCTTGTATCTGGTTCAACGGCAGGATACTAAAGGGCAGAGCTTGGAGATTTGGTATGTCAACCTTTGTTCTGGCGGTTGGACGACATCTTCCCTGACTACTACTAACGGAATTAGGATCACACGATACCTCGGATGCATCACGGCGTTCTTGGTGTTCATCTGGAGATACGTCAATGTACCAGAAAATTGGTCCTACGTCGGAAACTGGTGGAGCATTGGCGGCATGATCGTTACGCTCTTGCCAGAGACGGTGTACCCCTTCTTTTACGTTTGGGCCCATAAGAAAGAGAGAGAAAACGCTGAGAGAAAAAAATTGGTTGACGATGAAAAGATGAAAGCTGGCGACAGCAGAGAGTAAACGAATGCGTGTCGCATTGAGTACCTACCCTAAGAGTAACTGCGGTGCTTCATGTCAACAGGCTAACGAGACACAAGATGATGGATACCCTACCTATGGTATCTAGCGAAAATTCTATCTGTATAAAAATCTGCACGTAAGCCATTGTCCGCACCCACCATGGTCGTTTCCTTGATCTCAATACCGGCCCAATAGCCAGAGTTTTTCTCTCGATATTATCAGCCGTGCTCGTGGTCCGAAGCCTTATTCTTGTACAGCCTGACAGTAGGTGCAAGGCGGTATCGGAAATTCGGCACCTTCGGTCAGGCCGTGGAATGATGTTGCGACAACTGTGCGAAACCCAAGACGGCCGATCGGCTTCCAAGAATTTCAGCCACGCAAACAGCTATCAACATCATATGCAAAGACAATCAAGATGGTTTGTCGGCATATTTGGAAGTAAAAGTGGGACGGCCGTTGGTTTGGTTCGTCTTGAGCGTACCAAAGGTTAGTAGCTGATGAACCAACGCGTAGAGCGATGCATAAGTTGTTGCGCTGAAATCAGGATCGTCGACAAGCATCCCGGTAGCATCAAACAAGCTTCCCAGCCGCGCGATCTAGGCCGCACATGGCGTTTTTCAATGGATCGCAGCCACGACACAGAGCGTTCACATGCTCGTGCATTGGACATGACGCTCACCATTTGGAACGCACTAGCCGCATTGCCGATCTTCAGCCACACCAATGGTACCACCGCGTCGCGAAAGCGATTTCGCTAGCACCAGCCGCCATACATCATCGGCCCTAGTCTGCCAAACTTCTGTTTACTTTCCTGACTTTCCCCTTCCCCTCATCGTCGCATTCTTCGTCTATCAAAGAAGCTGTCAATTATCTTCACAATGGCGCAACGAGGTGAAGCCGCCGACTATTACACTGGTGGTGCGCCACCCCAGCAACCCCAAGACGCATACAAGGGTCAGCCGTATGGGCAACAACCACCCCAGTACGGCCAGAACTATGCGCCGCCTCAAGGCCCACCGCCAATGCAGCAGCCGAATGGCTACGAACAGAATGGCTATGGCGACAACAAGCAAACCTTTGAACAAACGTTCAAGCTGGACAAGCCCAAGTACAACGACTGGTGGGCGGGATTGCTCTTCATTGCAGTGTTTCTCGGCTACGTCGCGGTCAGCGCAATCTCGATTCGGGGATATTGTAAGTACCCAATCCCGTCACAACGCAATGTCCATTGAATAAAGACTGATACATCTTGCAGCGCGAACCAACAGCGGTGGCATCTACGGCGGCGACACGAATAATTTCGCGCTCAATTCAAACACCATCATCCTCTTCGCGTTCGTCCTTGGCTTAGCCATCGTCTTCAGCTATGCATACATGTGGGCTGCGCGCAAGTTCACCAAGCAGTTCATCTGGATCACCGGCATACTCAACATCATCTTCGGTTTTGTCACCGCTATCTACATGCTGTCCAGGAGATATTGGTCGGGAGGCATAGTCTTCCTGCTCTTCAGCGTGTTCTATGTCTTCTGCTTCATCAGCTGGATTCCTAGAATTCCGTTCAGTGTCCTTATGTTGCAGACCGCCATCGACGTGTCGAAGAAGTACGGGCACACTTACATCGTATCGTTGGTAGGAGGATTGCTTGCCGCCGCATTGGGCGCATGGTACTCGGTCACTCTGGTGTCGATCTATGTCCAGTATACCCCGAATGGCGCCAATTCGAATTGCAGGAACGGTGTCGGTGATTGTGGAAATGGCAAAGTTATTGGCTTGCTCGTCTTCGTTACTTTTGCCATGTACTGGATCTCAGAGTAAGTGCTGATAGCTACAGTTGGACACATTCAATTACTGACGGCAACAGATGGCTCAAGAACACAATCCACACTACCATCTCCGGCGTATACGGATCATGGTACTTCAACCCGAACTCTATGCCCAAGGGCGCAACCCGTGGAGCCTTCAAGCGCTCAGTCACCTACAGCTTTGGCAGCATCAGTCTCGGAAGTTTGCTTGTGGCCATCATCCAGTTCCTGCGCCAAATCTGCTCAGCTGCTCAGCGCAACGCGGCCAGCGACGGCAACCTTGTTGGCGCAATCCTATTCTGCGTCTTGGGCTGCTTGATTAGCATCTTGAACTGGGCTGTCGAGTTCTTGAACAGATACGCGTTCAGCTATATTGCGCTTTACGGAAAGAGTTACGTCGCCGCTGCGAAGGATACATGGAAGTAAGTGCAGCATGTGCTCGAGATCCGGAGACACCAAAGCTAACTAGAGTAGGATGATCAAGGACCGCGGTATCGATGCGCTGGTGAATGAATGCTTGATTGGACCAGTGCTTTCCATGGGAGCCACTTTCATCGCCTATGCCTGCGCGCTTCTGGCTTACCTCTACCTTATCTTCACATCGCCTGCCTACAATTCAGATGGAGGTTACACTCCAGTTGTAGTAGCATTCTCCTTTTTGATTGGCCTCCAAATTTGTAAGTCGCTCGAGACCATCTGCAAAATTCGCACTAAATCGTTCTAGGCAACATTTTCACCACGCCCTTGAGCAGCGGTATCGACACCATTTTCGTTGCGATGGCGTGGGATCCCGAGGTACTTATGCGTGAGCACCCAGACCTCTACCACCGCATGATAGCTGTGTACCCGCACGTGCAACAGGCTATCCACGCATAAACTGGGTCTGCGGAAACTATACCCTTCGTCGAAGCATCGGAACTTTATAAAATCTTTATAATCACGAGATACCCACTTTCACTCGATCGCGATCATTTGCGGCACAGTTTTTCACGATTCTCGTTGCAATGGCGGGGCTGCCCTGATGGACAACGCAGGATGTCGGGCTTGGCGCAACTAAAGGCGGGAGAACGTACCGATGTCTCCACAAGGCCACCGTCCACGCTATTGCAATGACGTATGACGTTTACAGCCCCATCCACACCATGGAAAGCGTGATTGAGGCGGAGCATAATGTTGGGAGTTGCACGATCTGGAGCGGCCTCCACGGCCGAGAAGACTCCGCATCGCGAGCCTCTGTCAGGTAGAAGGTTGGGCACCACCACCATTGAGGTATTAATATATTGTGTTCAACTTCATGTTGCTAGGTTGCTATCAGCCTACTGTACGTCAATCACCCACGCCTTTGGGATTGCTTTTGCACGGTGTCTCGGTTCGTGCCTGCCCCCATTTGATCCTAGCAGCCAATCGGATCCACATGTCGTCACTGTCGTTGCGGGGACTCTTCTAGCCATTTCACCCAACGCGCTGGGCGCCCCCAACATAAACACCACTTGTTTCCCCTCTCTCTCACCCACGGCCTACTGCACCTCCAGGCTCACCTGCACACCGCCCACTGAGAGAATCTTCTGGCCAAGTAAGTTGTGTCCAATTGCAATACGTAACCCATAAATCCCTCCTGCTCCTGCTACATATACCCCGCCAACGCGCCTTCCTGTCCCACCATCAACACAACAACAAAAGCCCCTCTTCCTCACCTACCCCTCCAAGTTCCTCTCCCTTACCTCAACCCCAGACTACCCGAGTAACACTCAACCTCTAGTTAAACATACCCGAACCTTCCACATACCCCCACCAACCACACATCATGTCCTACGAGAAGAAGGCAGTACACTTTGGCGGTGGTAACATCGGCCGTGGCTTCGTCGCCGAGTTCCTTCACAACTCTGGCTACGAGGTCGTCTTCGTCGACGTCATGGACAGCATCATCGAGTCCCTCCAGAAGACCAAAACATACACCGTCACCGAGATTGGTGACGACGGCGAGCGCAAGTTCACCATCGACCACTACCGTGCTATCAACTCCAAGCACGAGATGGACAAGGTCGTTGAGGAGATTGCTAGCGCTGACGTCGTCACCTGCGCTGTCGGCCCCAACATCCTCAAGTTCGTCGCTGAGCCCGTCGCCAAGGCAATCGAGGCCCGTACGCTCGACTACCCCATCGCCGTCATCGCCTGCGAGAACGCCATCAATGCCACAACCACATGGAGAGGGTTCATTGAGAGCAAGCTGAGCGAAAAGACCAAGGAGAACATCGACAGCAAGGCTCGCTTTGCCAACTCTGCTATCGACCGCATTGTCCCACAGCAGCCCCCCAACGGCGGTCTAGATGTTGTCATCGAGAAGTTCCACGAGTGGTGTGTCGAGCAGAAGCCTTTCGAGAACGGCGGCAAGAAGCCAGATGTTAAGGGCATCCACTACGTCGACGACCTCGAGCCCTACATCGAGCGCAAGCTCTTCACTGTCAACACCTCTCACGCTACTGCCGCCTACTACGGACACCAGAACAAGGTCCAATACATCCATGAGGTTCTTCACGACAAGAAGCTCCACGACACCGTCCGTGACGCTGTCAAGGAGACTGCCCATCTGATCGTCACCAAGCACGGCGTTGAGACAGCTGAGCAAGATGCATACGTTGAGGAAATCATCAAGCGTATTTCCAACCCTGTCCTCAAGGACAATGTCGAGCGTGTCGGCCGCGCTCCCCTCCGGAAACTCTCTCGCAAGGAGCGCTTCATTGGTCCCGCCGCTCAGCTGGCTGAGAGGGGTGAGAAGGTTGATGCCCTCCTCGGCGCCGTCGAGCAGGCCTACCGCTTCCAGAACGTTGAGGGCGATGAGGAATCTGTCGAACTTGCCAAGATCCTTAAGGAGAACTCCGCTGAGGACGTTGTCACTAAGGTCAACGGCATTGAGAAAGGACAGCCCCTCTTCGACCGTCTTGTCGCCATCGTCAAGAAGGTCCAGGGAGGTAGCTGAATATCCGCCGGTAAACTCTAAGTAGTAGTCGGTGCGGCCTGATGAAGGCTAAGTGGTCAGGCATATTGAACTTAGCATGGTAATTTTCAGCGAGGAAGATCAAAAGCGCCCTGGGCGATGGCTCAATGTGGCGAACCTTTTACGGCATTGACTGGGATCAATGTCCTGTATAATGACAACGAGACATGATAATGAATATACCCTCTCAGTAACTTCATTTCTCTATCCATCTTCTCACTGTTCTCTCTTCATATGCTTGTGTGACAGGCCATGAAATTTAACTTACCACAATCTTGCCCTTCTGCACATAAGTCGCTTTCCTACTGCTAAGTCGCCCAGAAAGTCATTAAGCGATCATTGGCTAGGAATTTATCCATATTTATATAGTATTGTTATCTACGATTGTTCAACTGGAGGATATCTTATTGCGCTCAAAGGTCTTCTTTCTGAATATTCACATGGAAGATAAACTACACCACCTCATCGAATGTTAGCCATTTCAAGCTGTTGTATTCCCATTCTTCCAGCCTTGAATCTCATCCAGCGTTAAGACGTACTCGTCGCCGTAAATTCTCTTCATCATATCCAAGCTGTTCCATTCGCCGCCAGTAACATACTCGCCACTCCATACGGCAAAGAAGACCCAGTCAGCCTGATAGGCCTTCAACTGTTCCGGCTCCATTAAACTGCCAATTTCCGCCGCAGCAATCATCTTGGTATCGTCCGTAAGCTTAATAAGATCGTTGTATGTGGCAGAAATCGGACCATGGTCACCCTTGGCGTATGTATCCGCAGAGACGATATCCACAACATCGGATCCGGGGTACCATGCCGGATCCACCGAGTTCCACACCCAGACCAAGTTGTTGAGAGAGTGGTGAACAGTGAGACGCTCGTAGAGGATGTGGTAGAGTTTCTTGCATGCTTCGGGACCTTGGGCACCCCACCAGAACCACTTGCCTTCAGCCTCATGCAGCGGGCGCCAGAGGACGGGTACGCCGGCATCCTGGAGCTTCTTCAGTTGAACTGCGATGGTATCAATGTCCTTGATAAGCGCAGTGTAGTTTGCGTTGGTAGTGTCGACGAGTGCGTCCGCAATGTTGAAGTCGGTAGCTTCGGTGTAGAAGCCACGGTACCAGGGTTGAGCCTCAGTATCGTAGAGGCCAGCTGGAGCGTTCCAGTGCCAGACAACGGTTACCATGCCACCTTTCTCTGCGAATGCAAGAGCATTAGTGGTATCGTTGGAGGAAGCACCCTTGGCGATGCGACCTTCGGTGTAGTCCATCATATCTACGCCGAGGATGGCGGGAGTCTTGCCGACGTTGGCTGTCACCCATTCTAGAGAGGCTTGGTCGTACTGGCCCGAGAGGATGTTCTTGCCATAGATACCACCTAGGTAGCTCATCAGGGCTTTTGCGTCGGCGTTTGCATTTGCGTTGACTGGAACAGCTGTTATGTTGTGTGGGCCTCGCTCTGCAGATGGAGAGAGCGTGATGGCATCAATCAGATAGTAACCCCAGTTACTCTGAATCTCGATCGTATTGTTGGCATTCTCTTCAAATAAAACTTGTCCCGCTGATACGGTCGTCCATTTTGTGGTAGCTGGTAGACTGACTTGCGATCCGGAACCGCCGTTGAGTACAATGTAAGTTTGCTTGTCGCCGTTGGGACCGTTGTAGATGAGACTGAGATCATACAGGCCAGTAGTATTGGAGGGGATTTGAAACGTGACCTTGTCGGTCGCGTCAGAGAAACCGTCTACATATCCGGAGCCTACACAGTGTTAGAAGTCTACAATGGGATATAAGAGAGTACTCGAGGAATGTTTACCTGTGTAGCCTGCTACTGAGGTAGCTACGGTTGTTCCAGAAAGTACTGCGTCCTCAGCCTGGTAGGTCACTGATTGAGCTGCAGTGAAAGTAAAGAGTGCCGCCAGGGCATATGTTGAAGTGAACATGATATCGCCGGTTTGAAGAGCTTGCCCGTGTATGCCCAGATTACACGATGAAGAAGAGATGTTATATATCGAAACACTTGACCCTTTCTACAACAATCCTCAATCTCAATTTCCAACCATATCCACGCTAACCCGGAAAGTTCGGAGCCGCGTCTCCATGCGCGAAATGTCAGTTCATTTGTTTCGAAACATTAGCGTGTCTTGAGGCCTTGAACGCATGACTTGGAACGTCGCTCCACAGAGGTCTTCTAGAAAAAAAGCTGTCAATTCAGCTTGCTGGGCTTGGCTTTGATCTTCTGACTAGCTATCTGTAGATTAAAGGGATCGTGTTTGCCCGTACTAAAAGCCGCCAATGAGGTTGTTCGCTGGTGGCTGGTTAATTCATGTCCGCGAACGTCTCTTTCTCGGCGCATTTCTTTATCACATGCGCTATCCAATCTACACTACTGAGTCGCAGCTAGATGTAACTGACGAAAGATAGCGACGCGATACGCGATACGCGTGAATGGTATGTTGCGATGAGTTTGTAAGAAGCTCTTTCGGGAACACATACGAAATTGAGGGTTTCGTTCATCGGAACGATCGAAACCGTTCCGAAGAACGCCAAAAGCTAGTCACATGACATCATCTAAAACACAACCCAATTCTTCAACACCAGCAAAAACTCAATCCCACGATGCAATACGCATAGCGAAAAAAAAAGATAAAGTTGTCTCCCCACCATGAGTCGAACAAGGGACCTTCTGATAACAGTAGATATTACAGTCAGACGCTCTAAACCAACTGAGCTACGGGGAGAATGTTTCGTGACGAAACCGTGCTTGTGTTGAGATGCCAAATTTTGCTAGAGTGGCATTATAAAGATGGGACAAAAGTGTACAAAATGAGGGGTCGAGGGGCGAAAATGCGGCGGCAGATGGTTGGCTGAACATAAAAGAGTAC